GGCAGTGGAAGCATCTCCAGGGCTCTTGCACATCTAAGCATGGCTCCACGTGGCTTGTCAACAAGAAGGTGAAAACAGGGAGAGCGGGGCTGGTCTCCAGCAAGCCATTTATCTCGTTGCCCTCCAATCAAGCTGTGACCTGATTGACAGGGTAAACTCCTCCCACATGTTCCAATGGGAGCCATGTTGGCACCAAAAAACTTACCGGTGACTATCACAATGGGCCTATTTGCCAGTCTCATAGCAGGTGAATGAGCTGTACTCTGTGTAGCATCAACACAGCACCCAAGACATTGCTAGTGCTTGTCCTGGATGGGGCATCTTCCACCTGGACTGCAGGAATTCAAGAACTTGCCCTTTTGCCCAGGGTACCTAGAGTGAAGATCCTGAATCCATGTCCACAGCCATCAAAAGCCTAATGTCCTCCTTCACTGCCTGCCCAAGTAGACAAGAGATATATGGCTGTGACACCTACATTTTCTGTCCACTTCTGCCTGCATTGTAGCTGACATTCAGTTACACTTGACTCCTATGATGTGTGTGCACTGTGTGGGTATGTGCCTTGCTTTCATGATGCATATCCTTTAAAATGTGACTTTCTAACAGTAACAGGAGTAATGATTTCAGGAGGGTTGGGGAAGGGAAGAGGGGAAGGGGGAGCTTATAGCAATGATGGGGAAATAACTCCCCTCATGGGGACAAAGACCAGGATTGTAGGTGAAGAGCTAGAAGGGGCGGTGTAAGATATGTATAAATAACAATACATAACATGTTGAGGGTTCTCAAGGGTGGCAGGGTGGGGAAGAGAGAGAGAAAAGAGGAACTGATACCAAGGGGCTCAAGAAGAAAGATAAGCTTTGAAATTGTTAATGGCAATATTTATACATATCCGCTTAACATAATGGATGTATGGATGGTTATAATATATGTAAGCCCCAATAAAATGATTTATTACTAAAAACAAAACAAAAAATCTACTTCAGAAAACTTTAGTTTTCTGATATGTATAAAAAATAAAATAAAATGTGACTTTCTGTTTATTTTAAGCTTAGAGGGCCAAAGATGTGTGTAGAGAGGTAGAGGGAGTTGGCGAGCCAGTGGAAGAACAGTAATCCATCACTCTGGTCTTTGTTCTTGAAGTTAGAGGAAGGGCAGGCTTCCCCTGCACAAAGGCCCATAGTTCATGACTGGAGGGGGAGGGCTCTTAGGAAAGGGGTGGGTAAGTGTGAGGTGGACCCAAAACTGGGAGCACCTTATGCCTTTAGCAGCCCGGGGCCAGAGTTGTTAATGTCCATGCATGAGTAGGACAGTGTTCTACAATGAAAATACTAAAGGCCCACTTCAAATGCCAGTGTTAGGACCCCCAGAAAGAAACAGCAGCAGCGGGGCGTGACCATGCCTGAAGATTACAACACATGTAGAATCTGCCCAGGTGGCCTTCAGGATGCCCTGAGCCCAGGAAAGCCAAACACAGCCTCTTGTTGGTTGAAAACCACATTCCTATTCACCCATTTACCTACCCAGCCCCTTCTAGTTCTGTGCTGGTGAAGGGGCTCGTGCACTCTGTGGCAGCGCTTGTTTATTTTTTACCCTCTGTTCTGTGGTCACGTTGTCTATTCCCGTAAACTGCAGTTTCACTCTGAACTGACTCATTGAAAAGCCACGAGTTTCTCCACCAGCACAGTGGAGAAGGTAGATGATGTTTGGTAGAAAGATCTGCAGAGAGGAGAGAAGGGAAAGGGTCAAGATGTTTTATTATTGATTTAGGTGTGAGACTACACACCCACATTGTTAAGCCAGGAGAAGGTACTGGGTTCGTGATAATGGAAGGAATGCCTGCTACCATCTAGGTCAGTGGTTCTCACACTTAATGTGTGTCTCCGAATCAGCCAGAGGGTGTGTTCCTAGCAAGGCTGCTGGCACCATCCCAGAGTTTCTGAGTCGTCTGGGGTGGAGCCTTCCACTTTGCCTCTCTAACAAATTCCCAGCTGCTGCTGCCTCTGCTGCCAGTCCAGGGACTATACTGTTTTAGGTCTAGGTCCTAGCTAAGGAGGGACACACAGAATGGTCTATCTCTCAGGGGCACCCGGGGGCCTGGGCTGGGAGGGGAGGAACCAGCAGCCCTCCGCTCTCTCTCTCTCTCTCATTGAATGAAATTTATAGTGGCAGGTAGTATATTCCAGATGTACAACCACCACTTCTACCTAGTTCCCAAATCATCTACTTTCATAACCCCAGTAGAAAGCCCCGGACCGATTAAGCAGTCTCTCCTCATTCACCCCTTGTTCCTGGCAACTTCCAGCCCGCTTTTTTTTTCTATGTATTTAAATTGCTTGGACCATTTCATATAAATGGAAACCTAGAATGCATGGCTTTTTGTGTTTGGCTTCTTTCAGTGTGATGTTTCCTCTTCCTCCGTTCTTTTCATCACGGCCCTAGCCATGGCCCTAGATGATGAGTGTGCTGTTGGCGTCACCACCAGCCCTCTGGCTGGGACTTGAGTAACAGCCAGGGTGGTGTCTGTTCTGAACTCGACAGGCAAAAACATTACCCTTTGCTTTTTCATGTCTACCTGTGTAGATGTGCGTGCGCTTAACAGGTGACCTGCCGTGTGTGTGTGTGTGTGTGTGTGTGTGTGTGTGTTAGAAAGAAATACAACAGAACATTTACCATTTCAGTAATTTTTTGCGCATGTAAGTCAGCAACCTGTGTTATGGTCATTGAGCTGTACATCCATCACCATGATCAATTTCCAAATTATTCCCCCTCCCTTGATGGCAGTGTGTTGCCCCTGAAGCAATGATTCCCCCTTCCCCAACCACCTGCCTGCCCCAAGCAACCACTGAGGAACTTTGGTCTCTTTACATTTGCTTGTTTAACTCTTTCCTATACGTGGGATCATACTGTATTGGTGCCTTTGTGTCTCCGCCCCTTTCACTCAGCATGATGTTTTCAAGATTCAGCTGTGCTGTTCCATGTATCAGGCAGGTGGGGATTCTTGCTGTCCCTTAGTGTGAGTGGAATGGTAAGCTGAGCCATCCATGACAAGCAAGCGTTTCTGTTGTTGCCATTTCAGGGGAAGCTGTAAGACTTTCAGTGTCTGTAAAGGAAGACCCGGTGTAAGGCTCAAACCATTGAGCTCTCATTTCCTTCAGGAAAGCAGGCAAAGTGAAGCCTGGGGTCAGGATGACTATCGCATTTCCTGCTGTCACCTTGGAGCCCTGGTGGTGCAGTCCCAGGGAGAAAGCTGTGGCAGCCTGCGTCCATAAAGATGGCAGCCAGTGCAGTGGTTCTCCGCCTTCCCATAGGGTTGCTGCGAGTCTAAATCCACTCGACAGCAGGGAGCTTGGTGCCTTGTCTCCACGGTCAGTGTTTTGGTGTTCTTCTTCCTAATGTGCTGGCAGTAGTGAAGCTTTGGGCTGGTCTCCAGAAGGGAGAAAACAGAGAGTGGCAGGGGTGCTTGGGATGTAGGTAGAAGCATAAAAAAATCTGTGAATGATACCGGAGTGCTTCTATTTTTACTGCCAATGTCTGATTTTCCAAGATAATCCTAAGAACAGCTTTTTATCACAGAATAATAACAAGCCCTCCCTGATATTTCCTTGGAATTATAAAATATTACTAGCTTGAGTACTTAGCAGCAGTGGAGGGGTGGAATGTTACTTGGGGTTTCATTTTTTATCCAATATAGAAAGCCTTCCAGCACTAAATAAAAATGTCACCGTGTAAAATGTAAAGGCTTTCTATCACAAATGTCTTTAAAAATTCATGAAGGGCTGAGGATTTGATTTATCTTATCCTTTCTGTGATTTATTCATATTTAATGTTCATTTCTACATTGGAAGCATGAAAAACCTTTCCAAATTAAAAACAGTAGTGAATCAGCTTTATCTGCAGACCTCGCCAGGGTTTGAATTCTGGGCTTCCTCCTTCCTCGTGTGCAGATGTGTTTGGATTTCTCACTGGTAAAGCCACTCGTCGTTGGGCAGGTGGACTGACCCAGCTACACATAGTTTTGACAGCTGAGTTACTAGTATCCATAGACACGTAGAGTGATTACACTTGTGTGGTGGCAGCAGAGAGGAGCAGGAACCAAGCCACCTTTGGAACTATCATTGCCATGGAGCTGTGGAGTTGCCTGTGTTTTCAGAAACATCTTTAGGAAGAGACAGCATCCTTTCTTCCCTATGGATGACTCCTAAATTGTGGGTGGTGGTGGATTAGCTTCAAATGAAGAAAGGAAAATCAACTCTAAATGAACTCAGACATGTTCTCTTGCTTAACTAGTAAAGAGAAGCCTGGGCTCTGAGGAATTGGATTTTCCCAATGCCACAAAGGTTTTCAAAGACTGGTATAAAAAAAAAAAAAAAGACTGGTATAAAGGGAGCTGCCAACCTTGTTGGTTTTCACCTTTGGGGCAGATGGGCCTGACTAGGAGCCTATGGATGCAGTTCCTTCTAAGCTGTGAGTTGGGCCGAATTTTATATGGTGAAAAGATGCCTCGGGGAGGCACAATTGCCCCATATACACCTTGACTTCTGCCTATTCTTCTACCTGTCTTTTCTTCTGACCCTTCATCCTATTATCCATTTTTCCTTTCTGTCTCATTTCTGCTAAACTGCAGTGACCACCTTTCCGCTCTGCAGCTACTACTAAGCTAGGTGGCATACCTACTGAAGTTAGTCAGCTTCTCATAAAATTAGGCAAATATGCCTATTCTCTCAGCTAAAAAAATAGTAAACGTTTAAATAAGAACACAAGGAAGAAAGGGAATAAAAGGTCAACTGGGTGCGAATAAGGATAAAGCTCTCTGAGTCTAAGTTTTCCCCCTTGCCATTGAGCTTCAGACCTATTAAAGACTCTCAGTCAATACATAGAATTGTGGCTGGTTGTTTTGAACCCATTCTGAGCCCCATGTCTTTGTGATCTTGGTTTTATTCCCTGGCTTAAAGGAGGAGAGAATCATCTTGATAAGTTAAATCGTCTTTTCCACCCCCTAGACTATTGGGAAGAAGTTACCGCCACCTACAGCAACTCAAGAGTCATCAAAAACAGAAATGGACCCCAGGACAAAGAGTAAGTTTCCTTCTTTATCCATTTTACATTTGAGAGCAATTAAGAGTTTTCTAGTCAATGAAATGCTCCGGGATAAATCCATCCATACTCGTGATAGCTTTTCAAGCATATCAGTAAAAGTGCCCACAATGTGTTTAGCTAGAACTCTACCATTAGGCCCAGCTCTTGCCCTCTTGAGTTATGGATCATTCCTGCTATATTTAGCTCCTTCATGTATAGAACTAGCATTTACCCAGAATACTTTGCAAAAGTTCAAGGGACAAGAACATCCTCAAGAATGGCAACTAGAGTAGTTTAGGCTTCCCTAGGCCTTCAAGCCAGAGAAGGCTTATACATCTGTTAGCCTCACCACTCATCCAATCCTTTTGATTCAACTGCCTCCCACGCAGCCTAAGCACATCTCTGGAGACCATCTCTGGAGGTAAGGAAGCCTTTGCTCACGATTACTGAGGTGACTCTTGGAATGACTTAAATATTTTAGAAAATAATTTATTCTATTGAGCCAGATATCCTTTTCCTGTAATTTTTACCCATGGTAATGCAATTGGTCCATTTTCCTTGTGACAGGTTTTTAAGTATTTGAGGCCTATTACCTCCCTCAAACCTTCTCAAATGTTCATTTTCCTAGTTCAAGAATTGCCAGAGAAAATACAGGACACCTAGTTAAATTTTCTTATCAGACAAACAGTGAATAATGCTTAGTATAAGTATGACCCATGGTTGATCTGAAATTCAGATTTACCTGGGTGTCTTACATTTGTATTCGCTAAAACTGCCTTCCATACAATTGCTTTTGAATCACTCTTCCAATGACTGGGTCATTTTATGTACTTCAGTATATCTGTCCCCAGAAACAAGTACTTTAACATTCTTCTAGCAATTTTCTTTCATTCTCTTCAGCTTCAGATTTCCATCTGAAGATAATGTGGACAGACTGCTAATTCAGTTTGGAAAGACACTGAACATGTAAAATATCTAAAAGCAGAGAAATTATGATCAGCATAAGGACAAGGATAGACTTGTTCGCTAATTGCCAATAAGATGCTAGGAGCTCCTTGTATTCAGAAATACAGGTAGTTTTGAAAGCAAAACAGAGTGCTGCATTCAGTATAGGAAAAGGAGTTCATGTGACCAAATGTGGTGGCTCGGGTGACTTGGATAAGCTCAGTGTTTGTCAGTGCATACATGAACTCTGTTGTATTATTTAAGGTTATGATAAGGATGAGGTCTGTGAGTTTTACCTGTTAGTGGTACCTTCAGACTCTGAATGATAGGCAGAATGCCCACTAGTCTAATGCTCTAGTCTAGTGGTTCTCAATCTGCTGGAGTGTACATCAGGGTCACACTTAGCTTATTTGAAAATCACAGATGGCTCAGCCCCACAGCCAGAATTTCTGAGTCAGTAGTTTGGGAGTAGGACCTGAAATGTTGCTTTACTAACAAGTTCCCAGGTGCCCTGGGGTGTAATGGGTTACTTGTTAGGCTGCTAATCTCAAAGTCAGCAGTTCAAATCCACCTGCCACTCTGCAGGAGAAAGCTGAAGCTTTCTACTCCCGTGAAGAGTTAAGGCTCATCAGTCCACAGGGGGCAGCTCTACTCTGTCCTATAGGGTCGGAACAACTTGATGACAGTGAGGGTGTTTGTTTGTTTGTTTGTTTGTTTTTCGGTTTTATCAAGTTCCCTGGTGTTTAAAGATTTTTTGGTTTTAACAAGTTCCTGGGTGCTGCTGCTGGTCTCAGAACCAGACCTGGAGAACCATTATTGGAAACTTGCAAGGGTTCTTAAGAAGAAATTAGCTATGTTTAGTCATGTGAGTTGTCATGCTAAACCTACCTTGAGGCACCAACATTTTCCTGATTCCTGAAGAGTCCTAAAACT